GGTGAGGCAATTGAAGGTTGCAATGGGTGAAGTAGGCAGCAAGCTCCTGTTGGCGCACTGGATTGTCTTTCATTCCTCTTCGCTCCAGCTCCATTTGCAGACCAAGAACATACTCCTTAGCAATAATAATTAATTCCTTGACTTCATCAACTTCCCTCCTTGACTCCACAACAATCAATGGAATTGTATGAAGCATGCTGAGGAAGATCCGAAGAGCCTCAGTAAATTTTCCAGCAGTTGTGGCCTTGTAACCAGCCTTCAGCTTTTCATCCAACTGAGAAAAATTGAACACAAGGGCTGGCGGACACCTTACATTAGGACTAGCTGACTCACTCCACCCCCTCTCAACTGCCAAGGACACTACTGGAGCGGATGAAAATGCACGAAGATAGCTATGGCTGCCGGTGTGAAGATCAAGAAACATGGATTTCAAAGGAGTAAAGTTTCTTATGCCAAGTTGCCTGCTCAGCAAACGCATTGCTGTATCAAAATTGCCAGCTGCGGCATGTTCAGCAGCAAGAGATGATCTCTGAATCCAAATCTGACTTACAGGCATACCAGAAGTTGGTGCCACAAAAATAGAAGAGCGAGAACTGCCAGAAACTTTTGGGGTGTCTGCCTCAGGGGGAAGTTCCAAATCTTCAAGGTCCCATCCACCCTCCTCTTCTTTTTCTTCAGCCGCTTCCTCATCCTCCAAAATTGCACTAACATCCCCATTCTGTAAGCCATCAACATCAACCACATCAAGATCTCCACCCCAATCACCTTCTGCACCCTCCTCCTCCTCCTCATCCACAGCACCCCTGCCAATACTATCCAATCCACCATCAAATATGCCTTTCATAACTCTAAGAAGGGGCCAATCGCCACCACAAGTAACAGGGGTTGGAGGCATCAATAGGGAAGGTTTTTTCCCCTCTGGCAAAGGAGGGACATCATCTCCCAACTCAGCTGCTAACCTTTCGGCCACATCCTGTAGTCCATGAACAGATGCTGTAACATAAGCAAGAGGCAAGTGACCAGCATTCTCCAAGATCTTAACACGTTCCTGGATATCGCCAAGATACAAAGCATTGTGAAACTGACCCATAACATCGTTCTTAACTTCCGCAATTTTCAGCATCTTGGACAGCTTTTCCAGGTTACCATTTATGAGATAAAGAAAAGACAACCTCTCAAAGTTCTTTGTCCTCTGGTAGGCATATTCCACTATACCTGCATTTCCTTGGCGAAGGGCCTCCACACCCAACCTATACCAATGATCTTTATCATCAATCTCCTTAGCTGATGCAACAGCAATTTGAATGTTCCCACTCTCTAGAGCCAAATTAAAGCGTGTCTTCTCATCTTTGACAAAATGGAGAGCCACTTCCGGGAACCCCTTCTGTTGCAGATAAGCAATCACGGCCTCACCACAAAGCTGGGAGTTTCTTATCATATTCATAACCTGATCATATCTCTTCCGAAGCAGAGAGAGCTTGAAAATGTATTCTGTAGCATCAATGGCGATAGATTTATTCTTCCCATCACGATCCAGGCAAAATATAGTATTGCCAGAAACCTTAGTTATGTATATCGGAACCTCAAGCGTTCGAATTATTCCACTATCTCCATTGGGAAGGCAGTATTTTATATGGTTTAAGGTGGTGTAAATAAAAACACCATTGTCATCCCAGGCTCCACTCTTAACACGTATTGTCTCATGAAGAGTGCATTGCTGCACAAGCTTCTTGTTAGTAATGATAATGGTATGCTTGCTGAGCAAAGCAACATTCTCCATGTCATTAGACCAAACAACATACTTCACAAAAGGAGCTTGAAGATCACCAAGAACAAGCCTCTGTTGGAGATCAAATATAACTACTCTATCCTCTGACCTACACAACAAGTTACCTGTTCCAGCATAAAATACTGCATCCGTCGGCAGTGGGAGGCCACTCTTTTTCACCACCTCATTTTTCAGATTCTTGATTAAGACTTGGTTGTTGCCTTTGTCAAGAACAGCAAACCGGTTCCGAGCCACAAATATAGCAGAACTACCAAGACCTTTCTTTGCCTCCTGCAAACTGTCACCCCTACCAATGCTGTCTTTCGGTATCACATACAACTCATAAGATCCTCCATCCACATCTGAGCAGATAAGAACAGCATTTTCTGTAGGACTGTAGGAAAGAGTTCTAGGACTTTGATTCAGACTTGTGGAACCAGGCCGTCGAATTGGAATTACTTGGGCATCTCTTTGAGTTGAAAAGTCATAATACCTTAAAAACCGGTCCTTGGCATAAAACAAAGAATCCCCACTCACTGCAAAAGCAGGACGCTCTCTCTCTAGCTTAAATACAATCATGCCACTGTCATGTCCAGCAGCCAAAACATTCATCTCAGGATGAACAGCAAGAATCCAGAATCTGTCATGTTCTCGGCGGAAAGTTTGAAGTCCAGTTCGCTTTGTAACATCCCACACACGAATACTTTTATCCTCGGAATTAGATACAATGATGTCTTGTTTGGCATGGAACATAACACATGACACATTATTCATGTGCCCTCTCAAGGTATCCACTTCCCAAGCCTTTGTCTCTGCAAATAAATAAACAATTTACTCAATCCCACAACAATTCAGGGGTTTAAATTCCAGCAGCAGAACATATAATGGAGTTGAGAAAACATCAACGGCCATGTAACATACATCAAACTTAAGAAAAGAAAATAACTAGGTAAATTCTTATGAATATTTTAATCTGCCAACAAGTAAACTTAACAAAAAGCTTTAATCAATATGTCTAGCAAATGAAATATAAGTTGGAGAAGAAGGCACAGTTTTCCTATAATCACCATTCATACGCCACAATTTCACTTGGCGATCATCTGCTCCAGAGACTATCAAAGGTAAGGTGGGATGAAATGCAGCCCAATTTACTCCTCGGTCATGACCTTCTAACACGTACTTAACAACAGCATCAACACCACCAAAAAGATCTGTGTTCATCTGACTCAGCCGTAAAATGTCATCTGCTGGGGAAGCAGTCTTCTTTTTCAAGGAACCAATATCCCAAACTCGAACAGTTTGATCAAGGGACGCCGACACAACAAGGTCCTCTTTAGGATGGAATGAGGCACACATAACATAGTGATTATGACCGGTCAACACAGAGATGCAAGTTCGTGACTGCCAGTTCCATATGCGAATAGTCTGATCATCACTGGCACTTACAATCCACGGATGCTCATGATGAAATTGCACAGTACGAATATAATCAAGATGTCCAAGAAGGGTGAAAAGACATCTATGCAACTTGTAGTTCCAGACCTTTATCTTGTAGTCATCACCTGAAAAATAAAACCATCACTTTTTTGTATCATTTGTATTGCACAACTACACTATGATTTGCTTATATCTACCACATTTTGAAAGCTAGGAATCAATGCAGATATTCTGGAAAAGTACCATCTCAGGCTTCTCTTCTCAAGCAAATCGTGAAGGACATTCAAGCTAAGGTTCAAAACTGACCTGCCCATACAGCCACTAAACGAGATTATGGGCTAGTTGGAATCCCTTTCAGTCTTAATTTCTATGTTTTGCTTGTGTGAATTTTGTTTGCTTCTTGTTGTCACTAGTAACTTATTTTTCTGCTTACTTTGGGTGGTGAAATAAAATTTTTCATTTATCCAAAAGACACAAATAGATTTATACTTTGGAAGTAACACGTTATATACATAAAACGACACTGGATAAATGCATAGGATATGTATTCATGCAGATATCAATGTATCCTATATAGTTCCATTGACATTCATTTCTCAAGAACGTCAGATCTACAAGGTTTGAACCAAGTCTAACTACATGAAATCGTTAAGAGCGAATCTAGGTCCAGCATTATCATACATATCAGATTTCTCAAGTGTGATATAGAATTTAAGCTAATCCAATCCCAATTAATCAGCGCAATTCACAATTTCTCATTCAAATACATAGATCACTAAAATAATGAACGAGATCTATTAAACAGATATAAAATTGAGGTGAAAAGAAACGAAATCTGAACCTCCAGATACAAACAAAGGCTGAGACATGTGGAAATGGACGCCGCGAACAGGGCCATCGTGTTCGTCGAATCGATCAATCAGAGTCCCCATTCGATAGTCCCATAACTGGATAACGCCACTGTGGAGACTGGCTAAGATCCACGGCCTCTTAGTGTGGAAACTCAGTCCCTTCACTCTATTACTCTTCGTCTCGAACTTCGTCAACATCTTCTTTTTCTTTCTCTCCAACCGCTAATTTTCGCCAAAGACAAACCAAATCCAACGTCTAAATAAAGTTACCTGCGTAACCAAACAGGAAGAACGAATCGGATTTGGGAACTGAGCAAAGAGATAAAGGAAGATTAAGGTTTATAAGAAATTACCTCAGATCTGATCCAACATCTAAAAATGGAAGCGCCTTTGAATCTTTGGATTTATATGAAAAGAAAAGAGAGAGTTTTCGATTCTCTCTTTGTTTAAGATCTGAGCCCTTTTGAGTCGAAGTACTGCAACTTTGTTATTCTTCGTAGAGTCTTATTACGGAAGGGACTCCCTTCCCATTTCACTTCTTTTATGATGACGCTTTTGTGAAGGTAAAAATGTTTTTTTTTTTTGGTGACGGAAGGTAAAAATGTTGGCACTGTTTTAAATGGGTATCATCTCAGTCTAATAAAGCAATTGTAAAAAGTAAAAACTAAAATGTTAAATCACCCACTTTTTTAATGATTCTTTTATATGGATACTTTAAAAAATATATATTAATTAATGTTTATAAATATAGACAAAGATAAAATTACCGAGATTGAAATTAAAGGTTTAAGTTTGAACTTCATCATAATTTAAAAAAATAAAAATAAAATTATATTGAAATTTTATAATAATTAAATTATATATTTATTAAATGTTAAACGAAAAGAAAACATTAATTTTCATAAAAAATTTAATTTAATTAATTTATATAATGACGAAAATCATTATTAAAAAAATGTAAACAAGCTATTCTCAAGTCAAAATGTAGAGACTTTATAGATTATTTATTTTGCCTATACAATAAAAGGAATAAACAATGAAAATGGAAAAAGGCAAGCATGGGCAGTCCATACCAGTACCTAATTACGGTGATTCAGTCGGAGTCATGATTTTGAGACTTAATTACATGCCCACGGACCAAAATTGAAGAAAAAGATATGGGCATTTGCGAAGGAACCTAGTGGGGAGAAAGATGGCCAGGTACTGTGGGATACTCCTTAGTTTATTTGCTCGTGGAACAGGATCGCTCACAAAATATGCATTTGATGGCTCCAAATCTGGAAAATTTTCCTTCTCTTCATTAAGGACAGACCTACTTCACATTTTGCATGCTGAAAACACGTCGTGCCTGGAGTCATTTTCACTGTTGAGGCACCTATTCTGCATTGCCCTGAAGAAACTGGACAATCTCCTCTGCTCTCGATTCGATTCCTTTCAAATATTCAGTGAGAATACGTTGCTGGTAAGAGCCTCCCTCCTGAGAGCGAGAGAGAAAACAAGAAACAGAAATAGGGAGAATAAAAAGGAGGGGTTGAAAAGAGAAAAGAGTTGAATCTACAGCCAATAGAAATTCAAGGCAAAGGGTGCCTCTTACAGTTCGGATTAAAGTCCGCTCAATCCGTTTCTTGATTACAGCATAAAATTCTTCTGGAGAAATTTCTCCTTTACCAACAGTTAACCCATCAATCAAAAGCTTATTCCACTGCTGCTCAGGAGCTGCACATAAATATGACAAGAATGACTAACAGTTAACTCATAAATATGAAAAGATCATGTTATCAGAAGGATAAATTTAAAGACGATATGGAAACCTTTTATCACAGTTTCAAGAAACTGCTCAGCTTTCAACACTTCATTCCCTGCACCAAAAACATTGATAGAAATTAGCTGTTCAATTTCTGACTCCAGCACATGAGGTAAAGCAAGCTGCAGGACTATGATAATCAAAAAAATATTGAAATGGTTATCTGAAAGAAAAAAGAGAATAGGTACACAAAGTAATGAATCATGATCAAGAAACTAAAAGTTACCGTTGCATATATCACTACTAGAAATTAAGGGAATGAAGTGGCAGTATTCAACAATGAAATTTGTTATTGACAAATTTCATATACGGCTAAAAAAGAGAAGGAATACTAGCACCACGACTTTATGTATCTGCACTCAAATTTTACTTTTTTTTTTTTCCTGTTTTTTGACCAAACGAAAGGTGAACCACCTGGCACACACAGCCAAGTTAAGATTCACAAATCCTAGAAGAAAAAATGGAGTATTTAGCATATTGGTTTTACCTCAATCCATGAATTTTCTGCATTGTGACAAAAGAGATGGTGTAGCTAAACTCAATGAAAAGATATGAGATGATTACCTTTCTTTGCATAACTACGTTTTAAGAGAACTATAGAAGCATAGAGTTGCAGAACCTTTTGCAACATAGCTTCGAGGCCTGGCTTATCACCATCTTCTTTTGACTGCAAATCACTAAAACACATGTTACCATTTTAAGAAAATAAATTACAAGGACAAACACAATGAAGCGAGGTGAACCTCAGCAGTATTGTGATAGAAGTTTTATTATCATAGTTAATATGTACCATTGAAACTTCAGAGAAGTACAGTGTCAATTCAAATATAAACAATTTCAAGCATCTTAACAGAAATTGAAGGATCAAAGAGATCTGATAGATCAGCATGAAATATCCATAACAATTTCTTTCACCAGGTCAGAATCAAGAAGAGTCTCAATATATTAACATACCATCTTAAGATACAAGCAGAACAGTTTTCTATTACCATTGAAACAATATGATATAAGCAGCAGAATATACTCACTTGTCGTAATTGTGCACTGACTTCTGAAAGGAAACCTTCATCTAGTTTCCCTTCTTGCTCCATTTGAAACATTTGCTGACAAGAATAAAAAAATATTCTTAGATGAATCAATTAAAAGACCAATTCCCAAATAGAATATATGATAACAATTCACATCTAGTAGCAATCAACCTAAGTTACTTTCGTTAAAAAATATCTCAGCCACTATTCCATTACTATGTTAAGGGTGAAATAGATGAAACAGAACTAACTCAGAGAAAATTATTTAAGCATCTGAAACATAGAAGTAAATTGACCATATAAAATCCAAAAACTGATTGATGAAATTTTTTATTATACTTTCTCCATTTGTTTGAGAGCATCGGGATCCTTAGGGGGCCAAGGAATCTCTTCCTCCTCAGTGACTACAGGTTTCAAGATCTCCTTGAGAACATCAGTTGCTGAATCAATCTTTTCCTGTCAAAAGGAGAAAAGGATCAATTACAAATAGAGAGACAAAAGGAAAGAACAGAGCTTTCCAGAAACCAAATTTCTTTTCCTTTATATCAGAGAGAGATGTACATGGGTCTTATGAACAATGCGATCCACTATGCTCATTACAGCAGTAGCCAATTCCTCATAATCTTTCTGCAAGAGGACAAAACAACAGCAACATAAGAATTTTAAAACCTAGGGACTATAATGAGGATGGTATAATTGAAACAGTAGAATTAACCAACTCAAAAACCGTGCTTTATCATCATCTGATTTGCAGGTATCACTTCTTGCAGCAATTCGTATCCAGAAGCTCTCATTGAAAGCAAGGATATTTTCAACAACTAGTTTCTGAAGCTGTCCACAAGAGAAAGCCAGAAAAAGCAATGTTATGAGAAAATAAAATTGGTAAATAGACTCAATCACATACAATCTGCTACTCCAGACAATAGCATCCAAATTAAGTAAGACAATAGAAAGAAATGAACCCCATATCAAGTAAGAATAATTGTCAATATGTGCATGGTTAAATAGATTGATGCCCAAAGTAACAATCCAGTGCATATGAAGACCAAATGATTGCAAGCACGCCAGTTTCATCTCCTAAAAAAAGACTAATAGCAACCTATTCCCAGCCCAAATTCCACCCAAACTAATTAAGCGGATAGCGCCATTATGATCTTCTTTCAAGGTCCCTTAAACATTTCAGACAAATCAGCACACTTGCCACAAAAACCATTGCTCCTTAAAGGAGCTAATATGAAAAATTCATTCTCTAGACATGACTTTAGCTTAATAGTCATGGAATTTCCACTTACATACATGCACATGAAATTACAGGTGGTTTACAAGGAAAAGCCAGAAACAAATACTTACTTCCTCTGGATTTGCCTCCCTCAGCATATCAATGAGTCTGTCCACTTCTACAGTCTTTTTGAAAGCTTTCTCAGCATCTTGGTTGACTGCACAGATCAAAGTTCTCCTGTTTTATTAGGATTCAAAACACTTACCATCAATATACAAGAAAACAATAACATTACAGTCACCAAAAAATGTTCTTGAGGTGTTACTATCAAATTGAAGTTCTAATAAATAACAAATACAGAGTAATTTTTACCTCCTTCTCCTCCGCTCTATGGAAGTTATTGAAGTAAAGGTCTTGAACGTCTCCTTTCGGGAAAACCCATGCTTCCAACCTTTAAGCAATGGGCTTTGCATTACAGAGCAATGAAACACCTATTTCATAAATTAGATTATAAACAAAACCATGGGATATTTTTCAATTGCTCTAAAAAGGAAAATTAAAATATAATAATCGATTTCCTTGAAAGAAGTGTTTCCATCTCATTAAAAAAATTTAAAAAAAAGTACACATGAAAGAAAGCGATTCCAGCCTGTTTAGAGGATTTGGGTATCAACTTTCAAATTAAAACAAGCAAAATTCAAGCACCCAAAAATAGAAAATAAACAAATTTTCCAAGAAAATGAAAGAGAAAAAGAGAATAAAGAAATACCTGGTGATATTTTGGAAAGTAAGGAGAAGGAGTTGGGCGTGGAAGAGTGAAGATTGAAGCCATTCTCAGGCGTGTGGACAATGGCGGGAGAGCAGAGCAGCTGCTACTTGCTATTGACCGTTCAAGCCGAGCTGCTTAAAACCAAATCTTCTTTTCTCGTTACTGAAATTGAACCGCAGGGGGTTGGCTGTGACTTACACGCCAAGTCGCATCGCGTACGATACCGGCTGGTCGAACTGTGGTTTGGGGCTGATTAATGGGCCACATGTGGCCTGTATATGGAGGCTCTACTTGGGCAAATGTTAAAGAAGGCTAGCCTATCAGTCATTCTTGGGCTGAACAAACTGAAACTTTGGGCTTATTATTTTTTGGGTAGAGTTTTTTTTTCATGGGACAATTACAAAAACCTTAATAAAAATTTTTTTTTTTGGAAATTTTTATTAATTTTTTAAACAGGAGGATAGAGTTAAATATTTTCTAAAAACATAAATTGTTTCTACATAAGGAGAAGAAAGAAAACAAAATAAAATACTTAAGTTAGAGATGACAATAGATTACGTAAGCCCTAAAGCCTTCCAACAGCTACTCTTTTTGCCTTGATCTTGCTTTTATAAAGAAATATATATGTAAAGAGATAAAAAATTTAAATATTAAGATTTAATTTAAAATTTTATTAAATATTATCTATTAAATGTAATTATATGAATTCATTGAATTAAATCTCGATAATTATTAAATACGATAAAGTTTTCTTCTTATACTTATGCATATACAGAAAGTTAGCCTTATACAATTAGATAGCTGTACCTATTAGCATATTTTCTTTTTCTTTTGTTGGGGTTGCTTAGTTTAATAGGGTACTGTGTAAGGTCGGGTAGTTAATTACTCAGGAGGACCCTCCATTGATAATGACTTATGTTTGTTTGGCCGTAGTTTTTTGACATCTATTTCAATTTCTTCTGCCAGCTATGTTATTGTTGAGCCACTTCAATTTGTCTGTCCAATATTTGACCCGGCCCATTTAATAAAATTTATTTAAATTCATTATTAAAACATTAAAACAATATGTTCATACTTTTGCATATGTTTCTGAATTAAATTTAAATAAAAAATTAATAATTTTTAGTTATAAAATATGTTCAAATCGAGTCTAAACTTAAAAATTTATTTACAAAATTAAATTCAAATTAAGCTTAACCTATGAAATTATAGAAAATTCAACATATGAACAGGTCCATATAACTTTATTACTATTGTTCTTCTTTATTGTTTCTCGATTTTATTTTTAGTATTTCTAACCTTATGAATAATAATAATATAGCAATTTCACATGTTACATGTGGTTCAGAAAAAAAGACTGGAAGACTAATTCCAAGTCATGTGTTTCCATTCCAAGAGCTAGCAATGCTTGAAAAATATTATCATTTGCCTTTTTTTATTGATTTGATTTGGGAAAATATGACTGACAGGCACCAAGGCCGTCTAACAAGCATAGTTGTAATTTTAAAATTTGATGGAGGAATTCTCATTAAAGAAAGCGTGAAAAGTTCATTTTTGATGTATTTGAGATGGATTCAAGGATCAACAAGTACAGTTTTTAACCTATATTTTTTCATGATTTTTTGCTTTTTGTTTCGCTAATTTCTTCAATGGAATCCATTTTCTTTATATTAAAATTTTATTTTATTAATTAATATAATTATTTTTAAAAATTATTTTTAAATCTCAGCATTAGGCATCCCTTATTATCTTTTCATATCATGACTTTCTCAATATAAAACTAAAAAAATAAAATTCAATTTTTTTAAGTAAAAATAAATGCATTAATAACCAAATCAAATGTTTAACTTTAACCCAAACAAATGGGGTATTCAGCACATGGTATTTTCCTCCTTCTCTAGCAGTCTTCCAGCCCATTTTGAGAGTTGTAAGGGAAAAAAAAAGAGAGAGAGAGAGAAAAAAGAATCTCCCACACGATTTTTTTTTTTTTAATTTTAAAACACTGGAACTAAGGCCCCAGATTATGAATTATTTTTCTCCAAAAATCTCTCCACCATGCGAGAATTTTTTTTTTTTAATTTAAGATGGGAGGAAGTTTTTCAAATCCAAGATCAAAGATAAATCATAAAATTTTAAAAATATATATTAATTTTACAAATTAATTATCAAAATAAATTATGAACATTAAAAATCAAATTTAAATCTTATAAAAAAATATTTAATATCTACTAACTCAATCAATTTCAATCATTGACCATGCGAAAAGTATTCGAACTACATATATACGTTCAAATAAATGAAAGTGCGATGTTCTCTTTTTCTTTTCCCTTTTATCTTCTTTTTTTATGCTGACAACAAGTTGCTTACATCCTTACATTCTCGTTTATTGGTTTTTAATAATCTTACAAGATCATCCATATCCAGCTCTGAAAAAGTAATGTTTTGTCGTCTTCTGTGTCCGCCGATTTCCTTGGCTTAACTAAAGCCTTTCACAATCTTTTTTTTTTTTTTTGCCGTCCCAATTTATTACAACGGGGATTTTATCAATTGTCAAATGTCAGATAGATGATGTAGACAGCCAACAACCACGTTTTGGTTGCTTTTTTTAAGCAAAAGCAATTTCATGTCGTTTGCCAATTTCTTGTTTTGAAGTTTTTTTTTTTATATTTGGTAATTATTTTAAATTTTGATTAATTTTAAATTTTTTTTAAAAAATTTGAACATTTATTTTTTTATTCATAAATTTTAAATTTTAAAATTTATTTTAAAAAATCAAACTCTTAAAATTCTTTATTATATATTATATTATCACCTTACATTTTAATTCATTTCATAAGAGAATGAAACGTTTACAAAAATTATTAAAAATATTGATAATCAAATCAAAATTTTCCGTTAACATATGAACATATAACTCAATGATAAATTTATATATTTTATGTTTGAAAAAATGAGTTTGAAACTTTGAATTTCTTTGGTCCAAAGCAAAGAAAAAAACATTCATATGAATGTATTCAACGTCAACAGTACATGACATTTAGTGAAGAAAAAGAGGGTTGACTAATAATAACGGAGGAATAGGCAGTCAGCCAGCTTTGCTTACGAATTCTTTGAAGTTGATCCAAAGACAACGGACAAGTAATATCCATGCCATGAAAAACTTGTGGTGGTAGGGGTGGGAGACCAATCCCCAATATATCTTATTTTTCTTACAATCAAAAGATCTTAATCGGTCATCCTTGGCGAATTGAAATCTAAGTTTTAAACTTACCACTTGAGAGATAATAATTGGACGAAATCATCATTATTTTATATAATATAAAATACTTCTATTCTTATTTAATATAATAAAGTATACAAAACTTTCTTATATAAAGTTAAAAAATAAAGTTTTCTCTTATCTATAATAAATTAATTATAAATTTTACCCAATTATTTATAATCTATTTAAACTAAAAAAATCCATACTAATAGGTTCATGAACTCGGCCATAATTGTATAAGGTTTTTTTTTTTTTTTTTAAATTACACTCATAATCAAATTTACAATGAAGTATTATATTTATATTATCAATTAATAAATTTTAGTTTTAATTAAACAATCATATATAGATATAGCGAAACTTGAATCTAAGACCTTAATCTAATTTTTTGTTAAAAATTTTAATTAAATTGAATCATATAATTATTTTTAAAAATTAATATTCAACAAATATTAATTCAAACTGTAATACTTTTTTTTTGTCTTTAAAATATTGATTTTTAGAAAAAATTGCTAGGTTAAATCGTAAATGCTGGCCAAAGGCCAATGCCCCAAAAATTTTCAGACATACATTTTGAGAACGAGAGTGGATGCGTCGGCAAAAAGAAAAACTATAATAAAAACTCCATAAAGCCAAGTTGGTCCTTCATCAAGAAAACGGTGGCAAAAATGGTGTCACCATTTTGGAAAGTGGAGCACCAATGATTTAAACATTAATCATCTAAATTATTCCCTTTCTCAACGAGGACTTTTTCTAGGTTTCGAACCTTACCTTTTGATAAATAAAATCCACTTAAAGTCTTATTGCTTGTCGTTGAGCCAACGCCTTCTTGGTAAGTTGGTCCTTCCTCTTTACTCAAGAAAGAGAAATTAGTCTATAAAAAGAACGGAAAGGGAGAGGCTAGGCATATATCCAGGCTTTTTTCAAAGTCAGATAGAGTTAAACTTGGCTTTTTATCTCATTGCGCTGCCCATAATGCTTTTGTCTGTATTCGGTTTCGACTCACACCGAAGCCTTTGAACAAATCAGAAACGAAATCAAATTAAGGAAAGAGCAGGGGGAGAGAGAGGAAACCAGTAAACTAATTAAAGATGAAGATTTTGTGTGATGTGTGCGACAAAGAAGAAGCCATAGTCTTCTGCTCTGCTGATGAAGCTGCTCTTTGTGAAGGCTGTGATCGTCGCGTTCACTATGCAAACAAGCTTGCTAGAAAACACTCTCGTTTCTCTCTTCTCCATCCTTCATTCAAAGAATCCCCACTTTGTGACATTTGTCAGGTAAAACCCTCTATTCTTTACTGTTTATAATGATTCAGAAAAAGAGAAATCTTGGTTTTAGTTTTTCTTTCATATCTCACAGGAGAGACGTGCATTTCTTTTTTGTCAACAAGATAGAGCAATTCTTTGTAGAGAATGTGACCTTCCAATTCATAGAGCCAATGAACATACCCTGAAACATAACAGGTTTCTTCTCACGGGTGACAAGCTCTCTTCTTCTTCCCAATCTTTAAACCCAACTTCATCTTCCTCTAATGGCTGTGCTGCGACTATTGACTCTGAGACTAAAAGTACTTCCCAGTCTTCCAAGAGATTCCGTTCAGTTTCTAATAATGAAAACTTCATCTCTCCTTCAATTGAGAGACCATTGCCTTCGACAACTTACAGGGTTGAAGATAATTACACTAGTGACAATGCTTCGATTTCAACTATCAGTATATCAGAGTACTTGATGGAGACGTTACCGGGTTGGCGCGTGGACGATTTTCTTGAGCCTTCATCTGCTGCCAATGGTTTCTGTAAGGTTTATATCTAGAATTAAGATTCAGATAGAGCCTTTTTGGTGGTTGTGACCTTATCAAGGACCTTTTCTATAATGTTTTGTTTATGGGATTTCTTTCATGCAGACTTTTGAGCAACTATTACCTTTGAAAGGACAAAATTTTGAGAATAATCTAAGTTCTTTTTCATCTGAAGCAATTAGGGTATCGGGTTTTTTCCTCCTCAATCCACTCAGCTTTGTTCTTTTTATTCCTTGAAATGGTTTGATAGATGGATCCAAGAAGTTGAGAGAGGCAAAGGTTTTGAATTTTGGCTGTGGATGGAACGATGATGAAAATTTTTTAGTTCCTCAAATCAGCTCTTCCTCTCTTAAGAGATCAAGACGATTTCGGAAAAAAAATCCGTGTTCAAGCTGGAGAAAGAGAATGTCCATATCGAATGTTTGTTCAATCAGTTTGTCTTTGGATCAGGGCAGTTTTCTCGTTCTTCTGGTTCTCGGCGATATTCTCGCTGTTCGATGGGGATAGTTTTGCTATTTGTGTAATTCATCAATATGTTTCAAGAAAATAGAAAGTTTCATTTTCCTTCGTCGACCTTATTGTCCCCTTGAATATAATAAACCCATAATTCCAAACTATCAAAATAGCTAATTTTAATGTTCTTATCCTGGTTAAGGTTGGCAGTGAGGCGAGGACAGTACTGCTTCCGTTGGAAAGAAAAGGCTCAATGCCCAAATAAACCTTTAATAAATTTCTTTGATCCTTAATTTTATGAAATTAAAGTTATAAATTTTTATTTTATTATAATTATATGTTTTAAATTTTAAAATAAATGAATAATATTCAATTGACATAATTTTAAAAGTAACATTGTTTTAAATATTTATCATTCAGCTCATTTAAATAAATATTTTCTACAAATTGAATCGTCAAATAAAAAATAAGAAAATTAAATATTTTATACCCTAAAAATCTAATAGCAATAAAATAAAATTTTATAACCTTAATATCATGTAATAACATATAAAAAATTTATTTACATTTTAAGTATAGTTTTGAGACGTATTTAATTATAATCGCAAAAAGAAAAAAGAAACTCAAGATCACCCACAAAAAAGTTCTACATTAAATTAGTAAGCCTTGAGACACTGTTACATTCGTTATTTGTGTTATGCACTTCTACTTTCACGTTTAGTATTTAACAAAAAACCAAAAATAAAGTAAAAACAACTGAGTGACATTTTGAAAATTGAAGAATAATAAGGACTGAAAGAGCAGTAATACAAATGAAAGTGACATTCGTAGATTTAAACCGAAAACTTAAGTAGACCAGGCTTTTATCCTTCTATTTCTTTGTCATTGACCTGGACCTGATTTCACTTTCGTTTGCACTACTCATTCATGTCCCAGGGTACAGAATTAATGAATCATTTCAAGAAAATGATCAGATTAATCATAAGGCGAAAAGAGTTATGACTCGTAAACAAAACATTTTATAAATGGTCACGGCACGAAAATTTGCTTTATAGGAAGCGTAAATCGTTTCTGTACATAACAATCGAAAGTTTAGAAGACAGATCACAATCTTTGCTGCAAAATTTAAAACAAAGCAACATCTTGCGTCTGAAATTTCGGATATAGTGATTTTACCTTTTTTTTTTCCTCTTTTTTTTCAAATATTTTTAACCTTTAATCTCTTATTTTTACAGCACCTCAGTGAGGTAGAAAACAACTATTGATATACCTTTTTAAACAGTTGCATAGAGACAAACCAATGAACATTGATACGAGAAAACTGGTGATCACGAACCCTGAAAACAAAAAGATTATAAAATGTCAATTTCATGGTATGAACAGCTCTGTTCTTGATGAGCCGGACGGCAAGAAGAGCGATAATCAGAGTTTCATCATTCTATTCAATTTATTTCAGTATAGAAGATGAGTCGGATGCTAAAGAATAGAAAAGAATTAAGCATGACCTTCATTAGGAGGGTAAAAATAGCAGTGTCAAGAAGTGAATGCGAAAAGCCTATCTGCAATCTTTGTGCGACAAATTGGACACTCGGAACAAGCAAGCGAACAAGATTTACATACTGCAAAAAGGCAAAACATAAGCATTTCCAAAAATAGTTGATAAGCACTAAGCGGAAAAGTATAGAATTGCTTCAAAGATGACTTACAACAAAAATGCCGACAAGGGAGAAGAATTGCTGCTGTTGGTGATTCAAAACATACTTTACACATATGGGAATTGGCATCTCCATTTCCCAGGGATTTGAGCTCTTTTTCCTTCATCTCTTGCATTCGGGCCTGTAAGTATTGAAATCTTTTAAGTTGCAGTAGTCTATGTAAAACAATTAACTTCAAGAAATAATGTGATTATGGCCACGGAATAATCACACAGAGAATGCTCTTTCAAGAAAATTTTTATGTCTCCCATTAATGAATCAATCAGAAGCCCCTAACCCTATCAACATTAGCAATATTATTCAAATATGCAGGATATGCGTTCACAATTCTAAACTAAACTGCATCATTTGACAAGTATAGAGAAAAAGCACAATAACTTCTAAACAGGCATTCAAGACTTAATATAAGCAAAAATGAGCCCATGGCTAAATGTGTCGCATGTAAGTATGAAGCCTGGAAGTCTAGCACGGCATAATGGTTATGTTGGGAATATTCTTTCTCCAAAAAGAAGCCTCTGAAGTTAACATGACAATGTAGCATGCCCAACCAGAACACAAAGGTTTGGTGGGGGGTTGACAGGAAGAATGCATGAGTCATGGCAAAGACCTGAAAGCCTCAAATAAACAATTACAATCTAGTGTCTGAGAAAGTATTTGTTGTTTACAGATGCAATGGAGGTCCCTGATCTATGGGTTTGATCTCACCCAAGCATAGACCTAGTTTAGTTCAAAAACAGGAACTAACATGCCATATATCAGAAAATCTTAAAGTAGCCTATGGGTGAGGAGTAGAGTGAAGGAAATAAGCCAAGGGAGATACAAAAAACTGAAGTCAGCACACAAATGCAGTACTTGAAAAGTATGTACAGGAACAAACCTTAAGGCGAAAAACTAGGGGTTCTTCTGTAGGTATTTCATTGGATGGTTTTGATGACACTTCTGAAACTTGTCTCTCTTTCAGGATATCGTTACTCTCATTGTTGTTTGCTTTTGGATCATCAATATTATCCATACCATTACTATGCTGCTCATCTGTATTACTCTCAGGGGCAGCAGCTCCCTCTTTCTTCAGCTTAGCAACAAGCACCCACATGTTAGCTAAATCATTCTCCAGAGCTTCCTCCCTCTTCTTTGCTTCTTCAACCTTTTTCCTGTATTCATCTTCTAGGAATTCCTTCTCAGCTAGGGCAGCTTCAAGAGCTGCCTCCCGTTGTTTCCTAGCCTGCAGTTCCATCTTCAGATCATCCGGATCAAGATTCCACGACTCAAAGTCAGCAGCTGCTCCAGAAAGGTCATGAGAGCGGCCAGAGAGCCGACCTTTCCTCCCAGGTCTCATGCTGTCACTATACTTGCGGTTGACACCATTGACAGTTTGATTAGCAGAACCTCTAGAGTGTGCCAACTCTCGAGCAGCCAATAATTCCTTCTCCAGTTTTGCATTCTGTACTGAGAGTTTGGTCACCTCACCAGCCAAATTCTTTAACTCAACAGCAGCAGCAGATGCCAATTCTTTTGCATATGAAGCTTCTTCAGCCAGTTTTTGATTTTGGACACGCAACCCACTGTTCTCCTCTGAAAGCTGCACCTGTTCTAGTTTTAGTTTTTCATTCTCAATCTCCTGCATATATAAACACAACTTAGATCATTTCAAAGGTGCAAGGAAAACAAAGTCATACCATAAAGACAATCAAATCTTTTCTCTTTACCTGTGGATGTTATCATATTATATAATTAACCATGTAAGGCACACTACTGAATCATCTTAATGCAACTCTGCATACCTCCATCAAAATTTAAAATTTGATGAAATATTTAAGAAAAGAAAGACAACAGAGTAAAAGCCTTGTATATAATAGGTGCACCTTACAATTTCATAGCAAGGATCTTACAATCAACCAACAATGCTACTGAGTTATGGGTAAGTAGTAGAAGCAACATTCAATAGGAGAAAGAAGCAGAGAAATGCTTAAAAGATAGTGCATGCCATCTACACTAAGATATCAAATCGCATCACAAAACTTTAGTTGCAACTCGCAACCATTCTGCTTTGACTTGTGCTAAACATTCCCAAGGTGTATGAAACAAAAGAGACAAGCAAGTGATAGCCACATGATTAAAAGGATTTTCCTTCTTTTATTTTTTATTTTTTTATTTTTTGCAATTATAATAGATGTGAGTTCAGGTGGAGGCAAGTTGGTAATATTTCATGAAATCATATGAAAATAAGAAGTACTACATGCAAACAAACCAGTTGAAGACCAAAACTTGTGACAGCAGAAAGCTAAAGCCATTAAGAGTTTACAAACCAGCAATAAGTAGATTACCTGAGATTGAACCTTTTTTCTTAACTCATCAGCATATTCTTCAGATATTCCCTGTTCAGAAGACAATGATAATTTGTCACTGGAGATACATGCCAACCGCTGCTCCAGGAGATTCACCTTTTCTTGCAATTCCTCATTCTCAGAACACTGCCAACAACCAAAACCATACGTGAAAAACAGTTCCATGATAATAGGAGAAACTATCAACAGGTAGAACAAATTGGTTTAATAAAGAAGCTAGCAGCATCAAAAGAAGGACCAAATGCTACATTAAATTTTCTATTAGAGAGATAACAAGTCATTTTATGAATAGATGAAAAAAGGCAAGCACAAGGCATTCACCTTGTTCTGCAGTTGTTCTTGGAGGATACGGTTATCTGCTGATTTTATCTGTATCAAGGAAAAGAATCAACTTGATTACACAATGAATCTAAAGAATCCTGTTTATCAAAGCCACACTGCTTATATCAATGTTTAACAAGCCTTAATCAATGATGAAAAAGTGCCCATCAAATGTCCTTTAACTCCATAAATCAGAAGAATGGGACAAAATCACTCACCTCCAGCTCAAAACTCTTTTCATTACTCTGGGTCATCAATCTCATAACTGTCTGTTGCAACAAGAAAGCATTTAGAATTAATTAAGCAAAAATCAACAGTAAAAAAACACTAACAAATAATTTAACATAAAATTTAAAATATTAGTATAAACAACATTATCATAAACAGGATAACAACACTACCTGCTGCATATCAACAAACGATGCATTAGCAATTGAAGCTTCACCGCTCTCAATTATGTGTTGCTCTAAGACCCTCATTTGCCTCCTCTTTTCTTGAATCTCTCTTTCCAAATTCTGAATCTGTGGTTAGAAAACACCCACATAAGCTCATTAGGATCTTAA